TGAAAATGGACAATTAGCATCTCAACGATCTCACAGTCACCTGGAACATTACCCCCCTACCCCCCGTTGTCATAGGAACCTTCCTCTGCCCGTTTACACTTTCTAATTTGTGCTACCCCACTTCATTTCAGCACACAGATCCACCTGCACATGATTGGGCTACTTCGTGTCATCAGGAATGCATAGGCTATTTAGTGAGAAAAAAAAACCCCACAAGGATAAACTTCAGGACAGTTTCCTGCTTCTACTTTTCTCTCAGAGTGAGTGGGTTTTCAACATTCAGGGAAAAATCAACTGACTGTTTCAACTCTTGACTTCAAACACAGAATCACATTCATGTTTATGATACCTGTTCAACAACAGGCTTTACTTAGTAATGACTAATCATAAGCACAATAACTACAATACAGCTACATGATTGATACACAACAACATACATCCAACACCTGATGTCTTCAGACTGTGCAGTTATATTGATACTTCATAGGCCACAAGGTAAAAGGACAAGGGTGGGAGGTAAAAGGTGACGATGTATTCCTTGTTACTGGCTTCCCTGTTCATTACCCACTCAGAAAGTCTGTCAGGCTGCAAAAACTGCTCCGACCTCTGACCTTCAACTACAAGCCACAGAGTGCCGCAGGCATTAAGTGTCCGCATTGCCACGACAAGCAATTGGAGCTCGCAGGTCAAGATTTATGATCACTCTGATGCACATGGACACACAAGATGCTCTATGGTCACACACAAGCAGCAGAGCACAGGCTAATAAACTACAGGTCTTGGGTTATTTTTCTATTTTCTTGACACTACCTCCTCTTCTTATTCGAGGGTTGGTGCAATCAGAGGGGCTTTGTTTGTTCCTTGTCATTCACTCTACTGGTCACATGATCAATGCTAATGTCAGTTGAGAGATCTAATGACACACAGATCCATAGGCAGATGGACAGCGCATTTGCTCTTTTTGCTGCATGTGTGAGCGCCACAGCGTGTGTGTGTGTGTGTGTAGGCATCAGTGAGTGTGCGAGTGTGCACATAAGCAGATGTTTGTTTGTGTGTTTAGAAATTGCGATCCTTTGATGAGGACAGGTCAGTGCTATTGTTATAAATGAGTGTAGGATTGCTGGGAGGTGACCTCTCCTGCCTCACACGCAGGAACACACACGCACACACACATAAACACATGTGCACACGTGGCTGTTTGCACTATTGGCAAGTGGAATTAGTAAATGTATGAGCTACACAGAAACTCATTACAACACGATTAGAGACAAACCTCCCATTTAATCTCATTTAGAAAAGGGTGGTTGCTTGTCAAACACACACACACACACACACACACACACACAGAGACAAACTTACGTGTGCACTTTGCAGAAACACACACATTTGTATAGATACAAAATAACCCCCTTCTCTGTATAAACGCCAGCACGTCGTCTGCTGTGACTCATGAAACAATGTCCTCATAATCATACGCTCTCAGTGCTGTGAAGGTACACGGTGTTGTTTTTAATGACACAGAAAGTTGTTGACATACAGTAGACAAATATATGAAATCCTCATTAAAACCAGAGACTTTTTACATGGCACTTCAGCTCCTCCCTGTCTCACCTCCCTCTGTGTGTTTGTCACCGTTCACAACACAAACGAGGTAAACCTCACCGTCTCAGCTCGGCTCCAAAGACTGAGCACAAACTCACTGCAGGCACTAAATATGGGCGTGCAAATACACACACGCCTGCGCGTACACACATACTCACATACTCACTCTCACAAACTCACTAGATGCTGACAGATGAGTTTTTATTTTTGGCTGTATATTCTCTCTGCTGGCAGTTCAGACACATATTACCCGTGCACAAATGTTTCTGCACACATGCACACTGAATAAAACACTGTTATATACACACACACGCGCGCACACACACGTATATAGCGACCTTCTCTGTGCTGAGTAGGCAAAGAGTCAGGGGTCAGTGCCTACTGTCAGCCTGTCAGAGAGAGGAAACGTAAGACGAGGCAAGGAACAAGAAATGAGGTTGAAAGAATGAAAGAAGTTACATCACTTTATTACTCAGTAAAAATGCATCTAGTAGAGGACTTTATCTGTCAAGTGTAGTATTGGCTGAATATGTTGCAACTGTTTAGTAAACTAAGGGCTTAATGCATTTCCATGGGCCTGAGACCCACTGTTGGAGAATGGATTGCTCTCAAACTGCTCAGCTGCAGGCAGCCAAATGCATGACCGACCATGACGCTGGTTGTTTTCACTGTAATACATGAATAATTATTTGCCTTTTTTCTTTATTTTCAATACAACATAATCATGTTTTTTTGTTGTTGTTTTGTCCAAGTTAAAGTGAGGAATTTTCTCAAGCCTCACCCCAAAGCTGTTCTTATCATACATAATATTTGTATTCTACCAATTAAGGCCACACGGATGTCTGTGTCTGTAAATTACATTAGCAAACACTTTGTTGGAATTGATTTCCTTTCAAGGATATAATCCGATAACATTGATTGAAAGCATTAAGCATTTTTGAGACCACAAAGTAGATCAAATAATGTGATAATATTTTTTGAAATATTATGTCACCAGTAAAGGTTTTAGGTTGTAACCCAAGTGACAGCAATGTGTAATATAACTATAACATTCTGTTGTTGATTATTCCTGATTTCATCATCTAATCAAGTTAATGTGCATTCAATGCAGTCTCAGTAAATTAGTTCACATTTGGCTTAATGATTTGATTTCATCAACTGCAATGGAATTGTTGTTCCTGCTTGGTTGCTCTTGCATGGCTTTTGTCTTCAAAACATATTTACAGCAACATGTTCCTTCCTTTCCTTTATGGTTTTTAGTTAACAAACACCAGGGGAAAAAAAAGAAAAGAAAAAACAAACAGAGAAAGATACAATCTTTATAATGTAATTTTGTCCAAAAGGTCAACCTGACCTAGGGACAGGGGGAGTAGAGTTTAAAGGGGTTAAAGTAGTGGCAGAGATAATGGTGGTCAGTCCAAAGGCAACCAAATGCTGATGTTGAGATAGTTTCCATAGTAACTCCTCCTCCATCTCCTCGTTTTCTCTTTGCTGTTATCAGGCCTTTTCTCTGAAACACTCCCATCACACACGAGAAAAACACGCACAAATGTGCTGTCCTGCATGTGCATACACCCCCTCCTTAGGTCTGCACTGGGCTCTGTGGTCAAATCCCTAAAGTGTTAATATCTGTAACACAAATCAATTTGAGCTGTCGTGTTCCAGCTGCATAGTCATATGATATATGTCCAGATAGGCTCGTCTCAGCCCGTCGTCTGCCTTGCTGTAGTAAATACAGAATGTACATAAGTAAATATGCGCTCTCTTAGTGCCTGCTAAGGTAGACAAGAATGAAAAAAGTCTCTACAGAGAGACATAGACGTCAGCTACTGTACAACACCAATAAAACGTGTGTATTTCTGAGAACTCCACTAATGTTTATTGTTTCTCTATTCAGTCTTTCTTTGGTGTGGATCTCAAATCGGCATCACCGATCAGGTCAGGGTTGTTCTTTCACTCAAAGCCCAAGTCTTTGGTCGCCACTTTCACTGCTCCACTATACGCCTCCTCCTTCATAAGATGCACTTATGAAGGTTAGTGTTAGAGAAGAGTAAAAAGAGTCGAGCAAATACGGTGTCTGACTATAAGCAGATTATGGGTACACAACACCTAATAAAAAAAAAGGCAAAACTTCATTAGCAGCAGCCAGTCCTGGGTCCCCAGGTACAAAACCTCTGACTGTGAGAAACTGCACGTGTGATTGGCGATCACTCTCCTTGTGATTAGGGTGATAGGATATGCAGCGAGTAACAACAAATAACAAGCAGCAACAAGTGTGACTACTGTACTACCTGAGGCAACATGTACCTAACGACGTCTTGCATTTCAGCTGCTGCCCTTAGGGCTCACCACAGGGAATCATCTGCTCCTATCTCATCTAATCTCTTCTTCATACCCTTCCTTAGAACATCCATGAATCTTTCTGGGGGCTTTCCTCTCCTCTTTCTGCCTTTTAGTGCTGTCTTTAAGATTAGTCCCACTTTCTCTGCTCAGCCCATGTCTAAACCATCTCAAATCGTCCTTGTTTACTTCATTTTCAGACTGATAAGCATTGGTTTGCTCTCTGACGTGCTGATTTTTAAGCAGGTGCATTTTGATCATTCTCAATCACAATGACAGCATCTCCAGTTATGAAACTTCAAGATCAGAAACCTGTTTCTATCTTCAGATTATACACCAAAATAAATGCACTACTATCTCTTACACCTTTCCTTTTATTCTTTCCGTCTTGCTGTTACACAGCACCCACGGCACCTGTCTCCACCCACTCCACCCTGCCACCCTGCACTCTCATCTTTACCTCTCCGGTGCACTGTCCATTTCTCCGACGGAGAAGGTGTTTTCCCTACTGTATCTTTGCTCCCTTTACATCCCAAACCTTTTTATCTGATTCTGTCCTTTGACAAACTACAGTATCATTCCTTGGTATGGACATAAACACCAGACCCTCAGACCCCTCAACAACTTCCTCCGTCAAACTGCCCATCCCCATATTACATGACAAGAGTGTGAAAACACATTCCTTCCTTACTTGAACCAATCCGGCAGTCAGACTTCACATTCACTGATGTGACATGTTGATTCTTGTTGTCCTTGTAGTTGAAACACTTCCCTTCTATTGAAACTAAATCTAAATAACATTACTGAACAAAACATCACTGTATTTAACAAAGATTTATGCCTGGATGACTTTATGATTTTAACCAAGACCAGATGCAACCAAATATGAAGGCATGTTTATAAAGCAGCATCCTATGACTATATTTCTAACAAAAATAATAATAAGAAAATACAAATAAACTGTATAAAATATTGTCGCAAATGTATATAAATATATACATGTACACTTACATATATTTATCCACAAAAATACACAAACCGGTAGATTCGTGCTTACACATACAGTATACAAACACATTTATTTAGTCATGGTTTGTGTGTCGTTTTGTGTCGCGTGACTGCGTGGGAGGGAAGAAGAAAAGAAAAAGAGACATTATTTCCATGTTTTCCTTTTCATCAGACCAAAACCACTGCCGCCCCCACTTTACTGAATCTGCTGCCTCCCGTTACACCTGATCCTGCAGAGGTTAAGGCCACCGTGGCTGTCACTCACGAATTTAATCATTCCGATCTTCTCAGGTTCTTCAGCTTTATTTTCTGCGTCCGGTAATTGCGTTTTCTGATTCGTGCGGGGCGATGAGTGTACGCTGTCCAAGGTGCTGCAGCAGCGCGGCCCCGCCTATCCTCTCCAACTCCTTCAACACATCCCTCTCTCTCTCCTCACACACGCGCGCACGTCTGACCACGTGACTTTCCCTATGCCGAGTCTCGGAGAGCATCAGACTGCACCTTTTCCTTCTCAAGAGAGCGGAGAGCGAGGAGAGAGAGACATTGGCTCACACAGAGACGGTGTCAGAGAAGGAGAGATAGAGAAGGGGATAGAGAGAGAGAGGTGAGAGAAAGAGGGAGAGAGAGAGCGAGCGAGAGAGAGAGAGAGAGAGAGAGAGAGAGAACCTCGTCGCCCGGAGGCGAACCTGTGATAATTTTGTTTCTGTTCCGTAGAGCGGCTCTGACCAACACCCGGCTGCTCTCTCGCGACTTCTACGTTCTTACAAATGGGAAGGGAAATCGATGGTTCGAGCGCCGCACTGATGCCACGGGACCACAGGACGTGCCTGAGGTAGGTCCCGTTTTCTTCAGCCTACGTACGCCTCTACTGAGGACAACACCGGGCTTATATTACCCGGGCAAGGCTCTTTATAGTTGAAGATACATTAATGAAATGTACAAACTGTTAATTACTTATTTGCGAAATTGTAGTTATTAGCTAGAGCGCTGGATTATCTCCTGTTCCAGTCAAACAGGAGCGCGTAGGAGAGGGGAAAAATGGAGAGGAGGTATGGCCGCAAATCGACAATCGATATTTCAACCGCATTCATTCACCCCGTCTATCAATAACTGTGTTGCTGTCGCTTTGCGCTTTTCTAAGACGCCAGACGCGGTGGGGAGAAGTGGTTCCTTTGCTGTGCCGGAATATGTGTTTAAAAAATGACCAGCAGAGCCGTTAATTGAAAAAAGAAAAAACACGAGAAGCGGTTTGAGTCATCCGCCGCAGCGCGCACCGCGTCCGCCGCCTATGTGACGGAACTAACCGGAATCCTATCGGTCCAAGCCGCACTGGTTACCGTTATTTACAGTCTTTTTCACACAAATATACCACTATTTGTCAAAAGCTTGTTCTCCTTATTTAAATTTTCCTGAACTACGTCAACTGTTTCACAGTAAGTTCAATTGCCTAACAATAAGGCTCAGGCAGTTTTAACGGCACAAAAAATCTGCGGCACCAGGTGCTGTGTTTGTATGTGCGCGTCCCTGCCTGCAGAGACATGTCGGTATGAAGTCACTGTGCTGTGAGCGCCCTGGAAGACCCAGTCATCTATCGTCTATGTGTGTTAAATGTGTTAACACACTGGGCCTGCGTTAATGCGTGTGCACAAAATGCATGAGGGAAGAGTAATTTGAGAATAACAGCAAGCTGTGGTGTGAGAACTGTGTGTGTGGAAGAGAGAGAGAGAGAGGGAGGGGAAGAGAGAGGGAGAGAAAGAGAGAGAGAGTTTGTAGGTTTTACGTGCGTGTGTGACCCTGCTTGATTGTGCCGTCTCTGTTCTCTCTGTAGGTCGCTGGAGAGAGTGATGACGCGGCAGTAAGACACACACAAACCTTCCCCTTTCGCACATAGCCACACACACGCACAGACACATATTTGCCCACACGCACTTTTTATTCTTGCCCTACTAAGACCTGGAGGAAGGGGAGAAAATACGGCTATGACGGTGTCATTTCTCTCCATTACCAGTGTGTGAGGCACACGCTTACACTCTGCAGGGAGTTCTCTGCACAGGGGATAAGGCCCTATCTGGGGCACAAAGATGAAGTTCACTTTCCATCCATCATGCATCTAGCACTCACACAGATGCTCACACCAGTAGAATACACCTGGACTCTGTCATCAATAAAGGACTGAATGGACAGACTAGACTTTAAGGGGACACATACAGCAGACCAAGGTCCATAAAGTTGCCCCAAATGTGCTGAAAAGCCAGAGAGAGCCGTTGTTGTAGGACCTTTTATCTCAACTGGACCTGTACCACAGAAGTTCTACAGAGCTCCACCAAGAAAGACGCTTCCACCTGTAACATCTCAAAAGTGTTCTGCCGCTCATCCTACAGTTGTCACCATGAGCTGTAGGCTACAGAGAACAGCCAAGCTCTAGCTTCTGTCTCATCTTCTGTGTGTGTGTGAGTGAGAGTGAGTGTGTGTATGAGTGTGATGGCGGTGTGTGTTTGGGCAGCAGCCCCACTGCTCTTCTTGGGGCTGTGCCTGTGCAGTGTGGGGGGCCATGCCCAAGGGGAGGTCCTAGAGTTTGGAGGAGTTTCCAGCCAGTGGGGACGATTCCCTGTGTGGAACGCCTGCTGTGAGAGTGTCCTGAGCTTCAGCCTGCGGACTCACAGCCAGGAGGGCCTCCTGCTCTACCTGGATGACGAGGGCTTCTGTGACTTCCTGGAGCTGCTGCTTCTCCATGGCCACCTGCGCCTGCGTTTCTCCATCTTCTGCGCCGAGCCAGCTGAGCTGCAGTCAGGCGTGGCGGTGAGTGACGGGAGGTGGCATGCAGTACGTGTCAAGAGGGACTGGAGGAACACCTCTTTAGAGGTGGATGGACGACTGGAGGGTTGGGCAGAAGTTAAGAGCAAGAGAAGAGACATGACTGTGTTTAGCCACACCTACATGGGCGGGTTAACGCCAGAGCTTCACACCTCACCTTTGCGTCTCACCTCGCCTTCGGTGCGAGAACATCCTGCCTTCCGTGGCTGGATCACGGGAGTGAGCATCAATGGGTCGCTAGTGATGCTGGATGGCTCAGAGGGCATCACAGTGACATCTGGCTGCGGGCCAGACCACCAGTGCCAGAACGGAGGGGTGTGCAACTTGGTCAACGACCAAGCCATCTGTGACTGCTCCGACACAGGGTACCAAGGCAATGACTGCAGTGAAGGTAAGACCTAGAACTATCATAAACATCTCATCCCAAACACACATGCAGTACACTCTTACACACTTACGCACATAGGTACCCTTTAAAAGCATATATCCATAACTCAAACAAGACCGCCTTCAGTCTAAACATCTATTTTTCATTCACACCTTCACAGCTGCCATCAGCTGGTGTGTATGGACCAGCAGCCTTCAAAAACAGTGCAAGACATGAATACTGATGATGTTTGGTATTGATTTTTGATGGCTGCCAATTCAACATGCACCTCCAAGGCTCAGAGCTTAGCCCCTCCCCACCAGCCCGGTCAGTGTAGTGGATGCGAGAGATGGACGACGGCTATTCAGCACTGCATTCGAACCGTAGAGCCCAGGCAGGACTGGAGAGATTTAAGACACTCTCAAAACTCTGTGAGAAGCCTTACCTGACTGATACAGCTTTGAAAGGTTCAGATGGTGCTGCTGGTACAACACACTAACCATATAGATCCATTATGGATGTGGTTGTTGGCTCTTGTTGAGAGACTTTAATTGGAAGTAGGCAAAGAGGCTGAAAATCAGTGGTAGTTACACAGTTGACACCTGGCTGCCTGTAGTAATGGATTTGCATTGATTCTATATGGCCTTCACAGGTACAATACATAGGGTGTTGAAATGAAGCGTGTAGAATCAATGGCCTGGCATTAATTTGAACAGCTTTCAGCCTGTTGAGATGCTCTGTTAATGTGTGTGTGAATGTCTGGGGTGCCTTTTGTGTCAATGCACTACTTTACATTTCATCATAAATATGAAGTCTAATTACCATCACCACTTAAATAAAACTTTTATTTGCCTTATTTAAAGATGGAAAATAAAGATATAACACTTTATCACCCCTTCTTAAAACCATCAACTAAGCTTTTGGTCAATACCAGGGCCAATTTACAGTACAGTGTAATGACGGCCATAACAAAAACCAAACAGCTGCCTAATGAACTCAGCTACCTTGTTATGGCCACTGCTGCAAATGAAACAATTTCCCCCCGCTTAGCTGTGTGTGTCGCCAGATTTGATTTAGTTTATTTGAAAAGCAAATTGGCTTTCAATAGCTCTGTAACTACTGTGCCTTTATATTCGTTTGGATGCCAAGGAATACCCTTCAGCTTTGCCTTAGCAATTGATTTCTCTAATGGCGCAAATGCATCTGCCAGAAACGGCCCAGTGTCCACTGTTAGTCACTGACCTGACCTCGTACCCCACCCAGCAGCACTGTCAGCATCGCACCCCTCCTTTAGCCACCCGCCATACAACACTCCAGCAATTAGTGGACAGTGGGATGGCCCTGGGTTACCATGGAGACAGTCCTAATTGGGAGACCTCATGCCAGGACCTCTTCTCTGTTCTCCTTCTAACTCCTGTTCTGCAGCTTTAGTCTCCAGGCTTAGTGCTGCCTGCTTGTCACTTTGTAATTTAGGCGTCACTGTCGCCTGCATTGACATGTCTCTAGGTGTGAGTGTGTGTATGCATGTGTGTGACAGTCTTTTGGTGACGATCTTTGCCACTTCCCTCTATATGCCTCTATTCCACGGTAGTGTCATTTGCTAACTTGACATGAGTGTAGGATATGAATAAAATGATCAACACTGACTTTTAAAGAAAGTCAGTGTGGGCTGTCTGTATTGGTTACTGTTTACTAATGCTGCACAACCAGGCAACTACTGCTGGTCTGATCTCAGTCTGCTGTTACTGTCCGTGAGAGCTACAGGCGACATACAGTACACGCAGTTGTACTCACAGCTGAGACATGAGGAAGAAAATTCACAATATGCCCGAATGACTTTTCCCTCAGATGATGACAAACAATGCAAATATAAATAAAATTACTGCTGTGAGAGGCTACATTTTGCCATGTATATGATGATAAAATACATTTGAAAAATCGTGACTTTCACATACTTGCTATTTGTAATTTATTATAATGTGTGATCCTGTGAATTATTTTGAATATCTTAGTATTAAATACAGAATTAAAAGATATGTTATTACATGAGAATATGAACAGTTTAATTTTAGTGGTCCCTATATATTTCTTTACTAGTTTGGGGTCCTTGGACTAAGAGATTATGAAGACTCCTGTAAAGACAAATGTATATTTCAAAATGTATATTTCAACATTTCCAAAACTCAAGAATATTTGATTTCACAATATCAAACTGAATATTATTATTATTATTTTAAATCATTATTTTGTATTACTTGATTAAGATTACGTGAGAAACATTTTAGCAAATAATTATTTGGTACTAATGAGTAAAAAGACCTAACAATGTGCTCAATGAAATATATGCATTGTTACTTTACAAAAAAACGTTGCTGAATAATTCCAAATAATTGAGTGGTTGATTGACGTGCAACCAGTGATTTGGTGTCTGGCAAGAGCTCACAGCTGCACGTGCGCTGTCATTCAGGAGAATTATACGTGATCCGTGTCATTCTTATTAAAGCCTGCTGTGAAGTTGATGGTTACGGCGCAGCAGGAGAGCGCACACGTCTTGCATTAATAACATAGCAGGAGAGCGCACACGTCTTGCATTAATGTACGTAGCTCAAACATAGAAATGTATTCACAACATGCAGGCCCATGCACCTCAAACATTGTTCACATCACTGCTGAGCCACCTGAAAACAGTTCAGCTTAAAGCGGCAAACTGGAGGACTGCAGACGTTTTACATTAAGGCTCACTCCAGGTAATAATACCTGCTTTCCACCAGCCCTGTGGGTCTCCACAAAAGGATTTTAATACCTTTACATTTCTAAGAATGGACTCTGAAAGTATCAGCTGTGAGTGATGTCAAGTGTTGCTATCAAGACCGAGTGCAACATACATTCTATTATCCCCAGACAGTGAGTGTTAACAATAATTGCGTATTGAACTTATTACATTATTTTATATAGTTTTCAGGTCCGCCTGCATGTAAACACACAGCTGCAGGAAATGTGCAGCATACTTAGTTGGTCTCGGCCGCTTGTTTTTGTGTTGGCATAGTCTGCCGCTCAACGTTTGTCTTATTGGTTTCGGACTTTCACATTTCAGAATGGATCACTACATCCATCACTAAAATCACTACAGGCTTTAGCAAGTGTTGCTAAATGACACTGAGAGTAGCATCCTGACATTCTTTCTTCAGCTGTTTGCTGGTAAAAGATTCAACAGAGGAAAGGTTTCTACTTAGTGGCAGCTTTTGAGATTGGGACAAGCAGCAGGGGCCGGTAAACAAAAACTCAAACCATGAAAAACACCCCAAGAGTATTTCCAAAAAATGCCTCTTGCATTAGACCTGTCTGTTTGATGATTATCCTTCCCTGACGGCTCGGTGGGATATCTAAGACCACAGGATCCTCATGCCGAGCTAATATTTATGCACCGACATCGGTACCAGTGAATACTTCATATCTACTTATAGCACGTCAAAAGAAATCTCCCAGGTGCAGTGAGGTGCAGCTAAGTTATATTTGTGAGAAAAACTGTAAGGTTAAGAAAGTAGGGATGAGATGTTGAGGTCAAAATCATTCATAATTACCTGAATAATGACCTCACAGCGACTGTACAGTATGTCAAAGTCTTCCTTTAAATTAGCAGTTGCATGAATGTGAGTCTCGGCTGTGTAATTGTTTTGTAAGTTACTGGGAAAAACTGGGGTTAAAAGTTATTTTCCAAATAGCATACAAGAAATATCTTGTTATTCTGAGCATTGGAACCCCAGTAAATCTGCAGAATAAAGTACTGCGACAAAACAGATCCCATATGAACGTTTTATATAATATTGAACATGCTGTGCCAGAGGAAAACAAAAATCAAAAAGAGTGTTTTTCAAGACAGATAAGACAGTTTTGCTGTGGCACTGCTAGTTGTCTTACTTGCTTCCTCAGTACCACCAAGAATCCATAAAGATCCTTTTTTATTAACTCTCCCATTGTTGCAGATTTGTGAGACACTTTAAATTTATATAACAAGCTGTTTTTCACTGCAAGCATTTCCCTGCCCTGAAAAACAGTGTAGGACTTCTGTCACATGACTGTGAGGAAAGCGCTATTTAGAAGGTTTTGTTCTCAAAGCCTATCAAAATGACTGAAGTCTGTAGTGAAGAAATTAAACACTGAAATTCAAGCTCTTGTAAATGAAGAAAGGTTGGGCAGGGTTATGTATAAATGTAATTACTGTCTTGGCCACATTGCCCTCCAGTGAAGGCAGAATGAACCTGGCTTGTTAGGCTTCGCCTGGCTCGCATTGTCCTTGAGGGCAAATTGCTGTTAGCATGCTAATGGATCCACCTGTTTCTGCTATGCTACTAGCACAAGGGCAAAGGCAAAGGAACACTCACGTCAACACACTGAGAAGCAACTAAAACACACACACTTGGACACACACTACTTGTACAGAACAATGCATGCCTCTTGTCTCCTTGCACTGCTAACCCATCCCTACATATGTATCCTGCTATTTCACATCCTTACTACTGCCGTAGTCAACGCGTGTGATTATGTGTGTGCTTTTTACTGAGAAAGAAAGAGAACACAAGTAAAAGTGTGTGTGAGTGAGGTTTGTGTTGCATGCTATCTGTTGGGGGTTCTGGGGAGAGGAAGGTGCAGCAAGGTAAGTTTTGGGGAAAACGGCTCTCGAATCCAAAGACACAGGTAGGAATGTAAATGTGTATTTACTGCTAAGGCCTCTCCACCCTTGGTCTCTACAAGTAAGGGTGGGTATGAGTGTGTGTGTGTGTGTGTGTCTGAGAGAGCACGTGAGAGAGAGAGAGAGTATGCATTTATTTACGTTTTATGTATACGTGTGAGGTCATCGAGAGAATACATTTCTTAAATACTAGTGCTGTGTGCATGGACGTACACAGATTATACAGTTGAGGACAAAATTATTAAATTACATTTAAATGATATATATGTTTAAATTATGCATACAAGTATTTTTATACACTTTAACATTACATGATAAAACTACCTATTCTATTTTAGAAAACTAGAAAAAATGACAGGGTCAAACATTTTACTTAGAACTGAGCTTTTTTTTAATTATAGTATTAAACATTTAAAGTTTCATATGCATTGAGCATAAATCCACATTGGTCAGGGGGTCGGTAATAAAAATAATTGTAGTCAAATCACAATGACTCAAGATCCATTATTAAAAACATGTGTTGATTCTCATAAAAATTGATAGCTATTATCAAGTGATGCCAATAAGAGTGCCTTTCACTGTGGCACACTAATTATTTCAGGTGACTAAATAATACAGTAAACCAATGAAGTAGAATTGGAAAATTGTCAGTGGTACACCTGATGATCGGTGCACTAATGTGCCGGGGACAGAGGTTGGGAATCGCTGCACTAAAATTACTAACAACCCAACAAAGATAGATTTTGGTCCGGCTCATATCGAAGTACCAGAAAGGACATCACTGGTGGACCACATACATACATATTGAATCATTTCAATATGAAATATTGATACAGTACTTGCTGTCTATTTCTACTGCACACAGGACAAAGTGAAAACTCATTTAACTGAGAAGTGATTTTCTTTCTCTGTAATAATATAAATAATTTAAGCTTAATACATTTTCACAACACATATGCTAATCTATTGCTCTGTTCAAAATAACCTGAGAAAAGCTATCAGGAGGATTACATTTTCTTGGCAGTAAATATGCTAGATTTTGTCCACAACTGGGTTTATATATACGTACAGTACAGATGCAAATGAACCACAGTTCTGGCTACCAATGTCAGCATGGTATCCATTATAACTAGTTTGTGTGGAATTTGCATGTACGTTACCACGGTAACCCTGGACAGGTGTGCATGTACAGTAAGTAGCCATGGTAACCAAAGGGCTGAGCATGCATGTTAATGAATGTCTGTCTCTCTTTCCCCTCGCCTGGCTGCAAAACCTTCCCAGAGTTCAGCTACACTCCAGGTAGGTTGGACTGCTGCTTCCTCCTGTATCTATGTTTCTCTGTCTTTTCATTCACTCTTTCAGTTTGTTCAGCTTGTATTTGAGCATTTCCACTTGACCTTTTATTAACTATTTCATACAGTATCTATTTTCTTTTTCAATCTAATTCCTTTTTGTTTATGTCCATATTTTTAAACAAATACACACCTATCTATTTCCATCCTCTAATATTTTTTTTTATTTTCTTAAATCCTTGTATATATGTATTTTTCTTTAAATTCAATTTCACCTCATTTCTGCCTTTAGTTTTAATGTCCTTGTTGCAATTAATTACAGTGAAGGTAGCCAGTATAAATTCTGTTGGTCTGTAGGGGTATATAGAGCTGGCTGCTGACATCTGGTAAGTACTTCCCATCCCATATGTGTCACCATAGTGGCTCTTGCCTCAAGGTTACATAGACAAAGACATGAAGGAATTCTTGCATACACACTATCTGCATGCAGTCGTCTGTGTGCATACCTGTCTGTGCATAAGATCACGGCTTAAAAAGGGTGTTTTTCTGTATGATAGAGATGACTCACCCACACAGGAAGACGAGCCCCGTTAGCCCTCTCTGGCGTATCTCATTGACAAATTCCTGTATCACAAAAAAAAAAACAAAAAAAAAAACAAACACATTATGTTACACACAAAGACACACATTTCACACGCCATGATCAATTGCTGTGCTGACTGTGCTCTTGTTTTCCTTTAAGGTCTGGCACACCTGATGATTGGCGACCAAGGTATGGCCCTACTCTTACTTCACTTCCTGTTGTTCTCTGCTATACCATCATCCCCTACCTCCTCACCCACACACTCACCACTCCCGTATACCCCCGCCCCTCTCCATCCACCATCTGGCACGGGAGGAAGTTGTCTCTCTAGGCACTGAACTAAGGTCAGTTTTTTCCCTGTAATTGTTTCCTTTCAATATAAAAGGCTCTTTTATTTGGCAGCATTAGAAATTTGAGATTTTTCCAGTTCAACAGGACCATAAGGAAATAAATACAACATCAAAATTACTTTAAAAATGATACTGTTTAACATCTGGAAGAGAGTGATAAACCTAAAAGCAATTTCGTCTGGAATAGCTAAATGCTAAAGGCTGCTGATATGCTGGGAGCGTAGATGGCTGCAGCTTAATGTTGCTTGGCTGGGTTCGACTTGGCAGGTCTCCTGCAGGTCAGGCAATGGGGCTACGGCCGACTGACTTGCTCCATGGATGGTTTGAATCGGTCTTTACTCCTGTGCCTCATCTCATTCCCATCTTCTTTACTTAACACAGGTTTGAATGATGGGATGATGTGTGTGTGAGAGAGAGAGGGGGAGAGAAAGAGAGAGAGAGAGCGTACATAAAGAGTAAATCCATAAATTAGATGCTTTTGTACCACCATTCACATTCACCCCTAGCTTTCCTCTGCTGTCCAGCATGCCTTGCTCTGCTACCACATCGGCTTCACTCACAAGTGCATGCAACACAAACCTTGAACAAACCTCCTTGCAATGAATGAAGGCAATGCTGTTTACACCTCGACCCCTACGTTGTCCGGTGTTTTTAAGAAGGCACAAGTACAGGTGTCAGTGTTTTGCCATTTAAAAGGTATTTAAAAGGTGTTCTTTGAAGGACAGAACTTACAATCACACCCATGTCTTTTTGCTCCCTCTCTCTTTTGTTTCTTTGTTTTCCTTACTCTCCTCTTTGTCACTGTTTGGGACTCCTCTCTCTGTGAATACAGGAAAACCTGCAGGTACCCCACCCCTGATTTGTTTTTCACGTCATGTGTATGGCTTCGGGGCTGTCCTCATTAGTTCTACAGATGAATGAATTTTATACATTCATTGTAATTTGGCCTGTAGAGGTTCAACTCTTTATTTGCAGTTGCCATTGAATTACAATGTTTCATTTTCAGTAAGGTAAGATGCTGGTGCATGCCTGTGCAAATCTTTTCATACTTGTGCATGCGTGCCAGTGAAATGGAGCTCGGACCTGCGCTGCTATTGAAAAAATCCAAAGGTAGGTGCTGCTTGATTGGTCAACTCTGCATGACGCTGATGAATACACTGATTGGCACACATGAAGACTAGCTCAACTGTGACGCGCCGATCTGCAACTATTGTGCAGATCTTTGATTGGATTGAAGAAAGACATGATGACGGCTGTTTCCTATTGTGATGGCGCAGCCGTGTATTCAGTGAATGGTGCTGCGTAATGAAATTTGCCTTCATGCTGGTTGATAGTGTTGGATTTCCTGCTTTAAAATGTCTGCCCTGAATCATCCAGGTGGCAGTCAAGTGTTAATTGTCTCGTCTGGCTTATGTTCAGCATTTTAAATCACCTACTTAAGTGTTGACAGGTATAAACATATTTTTGCAGCCCTATTGCATAATGTGTTTCATGTATTTGCGTATGGCCTCAATATTACAGGTGTTTGGATTGTGATAGGCTGAACGTAAAACTGTGGTCGTTTTTTTTTTCATTAGCCCCCCACCACCCCAACACCTTTGAAGGGTTTTTTTGAAACCCTGCACATCAAAAAGCGATGCGTGCATTTGTGTGTTTTTCCACAGTATACTGTGACGTTAAGGCTGTCAAATGCTGCAGACGAAGTCTAGCTTAGGTTAGCTTCTCGTAAAGAGCCTTTTTAAGGAGCCCACAAAGCTGAAATGAGTTTCTTTGAGGGGGTGGATTGGGTATGAGGTGGTGTGTCTTAGAAAGATATATTTGTGTGTGTGTGTGTGTGTGTGTGTGTGTGTGCGTGTGCATTTACTGGAGAAATTGAGAAAAGGGGACTGTGGCTCTGAGAGTAGAGCTAAAGGAATGAGTGATAGCGGGAGCAGAGAGGGGAAGAGGAAGTGAGGGGAGATAAAGTGAGTCGTCTTTTCTCCTGTGATGTAGAGCAACTGCCTGTATCTGCAAAGGGACAGCGGTGCTCCCGTCTGCCCTCTCCCTAGCCCAGTGATTCGCCAAGGGACATCAGCTCTTATGGGGGACTGTGGACCTTTCCCTCTCCTCCATAAAACAGAGCTATCAGTCTTCTGGAAATGATAGCCACAGATCACTAATCACTCTGAGTGGGTAAAGATACAGAAATTCTTGGAGAAACAAAGATAGGAGAGAACCAAATTGGATTTTCATAAGTATGGAGCAGCCAAAGGCAGAGCGGAAAATTGATTTTTCTTTCTTTTTTTCCCCCCAAAAAGTACTGAGTGACAATAATCCAGTTAGAAAATGTACTTAAAGTCATGTAGTAGAATTTGCTCAGGACATTAGCATCAACAGTTTAATTAAGTGATTACAGTTTGTGAGCAGTACTGAGACATCCGTCAACAGGCAACATCGACTGTTTCTGGTGTTTATTTATTTGTTTGTTTATTGCAGCTTTAAGAAGGCTTGTCTGGTTCATGTTGGTCGGTAGGTCGTATGTCCAAGTGTTCTCCATATCAGTCCAACAATCTGTGCACAGCATAGACAAGTGGTCTGCCCTCGCTTAAAGTGACCTTTACACATCCACGTACGTGAACGGGTGGACAAACACACGCACACACACATACACACACACACAGGATAACCTTTAGAGTGTGCTGCTGAGTTGAGTGAGTGTGTTCAATGTAAATATGCATGAGTAAGACAGCCTACACATATTCTTCATGGTCAGCGGATGAAGTGTGTGTGTGTGTGTGTGTGTGTGTGTGTGTGTGAGTTGCATGCGGGGGGTATGTGTGTGTGTGTGTGTGTGTGTGTGTGTGTGTTCAAGGGAGGTGAATTCTGAGTCACCACTCTTGACTCATTAAGCGTTGGCAATCAAAGCAGCTCATTTTGAAAGAATTTTAACACATTGCCTAACGGCTTAAATGCACAAACACACACACAATGACGTTGGTTCTTTGAGTTTCCCTTTCATTTGTCTCTTTTTATGTTTTTCCCACTTTGCCTACTAAACCTTACCCGCACACGCAGTACATACACACACACACAATAGAACACATGCATGGAGGATCAGCTTTGTGCTGACTACACCATATGTGGGACCGGGAATGGCAGCAGATGCCAAGACAAGAGGAACCAGTCAGTATCAGCAAAGTACAATATGTCTCCTACCTCTTACTCATCAACATCTTAGAGTCCTGATAATATATCACCCGATGATTTTGAAATGTCAGTGTTATCTGACTCAAGACTCACCCCGTAGTCGAGGGTGCCTTCTTTAACTTTTGACTTTAAAGATGTAGCAAAAAAAAAAAAAATCAACAAATTTAAAAAAGAATGAACTGAAAATTAAACGGACAGATGAGTCAGCAGTATGCCTAATGGTTACTAGCTTTTCAACACAAAATTGTTGTTCATGCAGAAAGAGTGACTGTGTGCTGCTTCTGAGGAAACTAGAAAAAATCAACTGTTCCTGAAGCTAACACACACACATAAATCAATTCAATAAATCAGTCATTTTCATTCAAAATGTGTCACTGTATAATAGAGACGTCAGTACTTCCATAAACCTTGTTAAATATGCAGTTTCATTCTGGCTGGAACAAATATTGTGATATACTTTGTATTTGTACATTGATCAGGCACACTTTGCTGTATAAGGACGAGCAAGTGAACAGCACCCAACCCGAGGTGAGACTGTTAGCTTCTCGTGTTAAGAGACAAGTGTCTTGTGATTGGCTGACTGCCTGGGTGACTGGCAGGAATTTGGGTCCTGATAGCTACATCT